ATGGTGTGTGGCATAGTTCAGCATGATGCAGCACTGCATGACATGGTATATGGTATAGCACGACATACTATGGTGTATGGTGTGGGTGTGGTATGACAAGTTTTGGTAATTGATTACTGTGGTGAGTTCTTATAGGTATCTGTAAATGATGCAAGTGATATAGTGGTAAGTTGAGCTTGGGGGAATGCGTAGTGTTGGTCAAGTTTAGAAGTTGAATTTTTATGTTTTATTTCAAAAAGAAAAGTTTATTGACTCCATTTGTGAGGTTTTGCATCATGAGTAATTTTCAAATCAATTAAAAGTTAACGTTTAAGGTAGATTTTACCACAGAGGGCATCTGGTTAATAATATCAGAAATCTTTCCGGAATACTGCAGTTTTGGTATTCATTGACAATACTTCTAAAAGTATAAGTGGTATCCCTCTGTAGTGGTGCTGCTCCACAATATACTTCCCGTTTTGAAAATTTTCTTAATTGTTTCCGGCTCTCGTATGTTTGAATGCTGTTGTCAATAAATATCTACTCGATTCAAACCAAGATTATTTGAATTATAGTTGAATAGAACGAACATAAATTGGCATGAGAGCACCAGATAGAGGGTATTCTACTCTTAGATATTTAGTAAGTTGAAAATAAGCTTCAATGTTTTGGTCCTTTTTCACATCTTTCTGATTTGCACAATGCTGACACTCCACATTATGGTCGTGCTCCCATTATAAATTACTCTCTTGTGTAAAACATCCTGCAAATTATTGCACTGTTATGTCATTGTCCACTGGATATCAGAATCGCCTAATTAAAATTAATCATGTCATTCAGTACCAAAATGTACATCAGGTTTAATGTTTTATATTTGTCATTTATGAGCACTGGCACATTACAATATTATTGTAAAATTGTTTTAATGACTCATTCACTAAGATTGTAAATAATTTACTTATTATTTCTTTCTAAATTCCATAAATGATTTTGGCAACACGCCGAAAATAATATTGTTCATTTGCTTCAAATTACTGAATCAAGGCGTATGTGCAATTACATTAAACAAGCGACCTGATTAAATTTAAGCAAACAATGAAGTCAGCAAATATCGCCGTGGGGTGACATGACA